GCTGGCGAGTACGCGAGGAAACCCGGAAGCTGGATGCAGACGCCAAGTCCTGGGTCTCTAAATGCGCGGTTGCTTCGCGTCCTGAGGAGAGAATGCTGGAAAACCCGGTGGGCGGGTTGAAACTAAGATATGCTCAGAAGTCCAGGGTGGAGAGCTTGAACCCAGTGCTCTCTCCTCGTGCAAAAAACTCTTGCTGGATCAGACTTTCACACTGAGAAGTCTCTGGAGAAGAGTTAGCTCTTAAATACAGATGTCCTTCAACCGTGGAAAGAGGAGACACCACGGGGTCTGATCATGAATATCCATAAAGAACAGAAGACAAGAACACAGCTCTTGATGGTTTCATCCATTTTCTTCTTAGTTCGACAAACTATTTTAAGAAAAATTTGGGGGGGGGACGTGTCGTGACGCACGTATGCAAGTCAGCGGACAATTTGTGGGAGTTGATTTCCTCCCACCGTCTGGTTTCAGGGATCAAACTTAGGTTCCCTAGACTTAGCAGCACTCACCTTTACCCACTGAGCCGTCTTAATGGCGCGCAAACTTTTTTATCCATTGTTGTTAGGATCATTTTCTTTTCTTTTCCTACCATTTGTTTCCTTCTACATAATACCCATTTAAAAACTCTCCAGTGTCCCTTTACATTTCACCATCCAGTATCAGTAAATCTTACTGCATTTTATCTTGAGTCCTTCCCTGCCCTCTAACCCACCATTCTATCTCTATCTATTGACTTTTTTGGTAATCTGTTATCCATCTTAGATTGCCCAGCACACCATCTCCTACACAGTAGACTCTGTCCATGTGTAATTGAGCCCTCCCACCAGCTGCTTACAAAGCAGTCTTGATGACCTGAGGTTTCCACCTAATACCATAGCAGACCAAAGTTTATCTTCATTCTCAAGAACCCTCTACTTGGATTCTATCATGTCCTTCCTGTGTCCTTGACTATTTTATTCAGCTGTGCAGTTATCTCTCCTTATTCTCTTATTCTAAGGCATCCTTCAATAGTGCCATTCAAAATAGCATGTGACTTAGAGACTGAGTGGGTCATAAAGTCCCTTTACTCTCCATCTCTGTCTTCACAGAAAGGAAAGGAGGGTGGGAGGGCTGACAGCTTAAAGACAAACACTAAGCCTGTCTAGTCTAGGAAAAAGTAATTCCCTTTTGGTCCATCAATATTCATATTGTTCTTGGACAGTAAAAGGACAGAACTGACTCAGAGTGACAGAAGAATCTCCAATCTGTACTCTCTGATGTTACAAATGAGGGTTTACTAACAGAGAGAAAAAGCAGGGTTTAGTGTTTTATAGTTCTGTGATTTAATTAAGTATTAAATATTGTGGAAGTAGACTAAAACAGTGGGGGGGGCAGTTCTACTTAGCTTCTAGTCAGAGCAAGCTCTCAAACCTGAAAGACTTAGTGAAAAAATGTCAAAGGACCTACTGTACTAAACAGTAAAGAGCTTTAAGTTTTAGCTTGTGTCTGCAGAGCAAGTATTGGCAAACTACGTCCCACAGAACAAGTCAGATTCACCACCACCTGTTTGGCAAATCCTGTGAGCTAAAAAAATTAGTTTTTATGTTTTTAAATAGCTAAGTAATAAACATATATTTTACAATACAAAAACTATGTGAATCTGGGTGTGGTGATACAAAACTCCAGCACTTGGGAACTTGAGGCTGGAGATCTAAAATTCAAGACTAGCCTGAGCTTGAAGTGTGATACACAGAGAAACTGTCTTTAAAAAAAAAGTGTCTCCAAACAAAAACTCATGAAATGTAGTCACAGTATCTGTGGATGTATTTACAGTACAACAGCACAGCTGAATGGTTTATAAAAGTTAAGTCATTTGCTATCTGACCCTTTACTGAATGACTTTGCTAACCCCTGCCCCCTGCTGTTCAGTTCAGAAGTCACTAGCCACATGTAGGCTACTTGGGCACTTAAGTTTCAGGGACTGAAGAACTCAATCTTTAATCTTTACTTAGAATTTAATTCAAATTTAAACAGCCTGTGGTGAGTGTCGACCATATTAGACAGCACAACCCTAGAGATCTATCTGCTTCTGCCTCCCAAATGCTGGGGATTAAAGGCATGCACATCATGCCTGACTAGATTCTTCTTAAGTCTTATAAACTGATAAGCTTTTCTCCTCATAATGTACCATTCTCTCAAGATACATCTGTCTGTGGGCTTAGGCAACCCTTCTTCCCTCTCCCTTCCCCCTCTTTTCCTGACTCCAATCTAGGGTATTTTTTACTGGGATTACATTTCATCCCATGAATGGAGCCACATTGTATTCACACAGATAAATGGACATTTATATAAGTTCTTTGTGACAGAGGATGGCACTGTGGCTATGTTCTTTCTTCTCTGAGGAGAAAAGTAGAAAAGCTCTCTGCAGGCTGGATCCCTTGTTGCTGGTGGAGCCTGCAACTTGGATCACCTCACATTCACAGAACCTGAGAACAGCACATGTGTGCTTGCTATTTGAATCTCAAGGAAAACAAAACAAAACAACAAAACGCTTTATCACTGGACTGTTTCCCTCTTCCAGGCCTGAGAAACTGAAGCTAGATGATCTCTCTAGTTTAGAAAATGAGATGGCCAAGTGAACAACCCCATGCCATCTAATCTTGGCTAGGCCCTTCAAGGCATTAAACAAATTTACCAAATTAAATGAGCACCATAAGAATAGGTTGTAGGACAGTAATTAAAATGGAAAGAAATTAAGTGTCATAACTCACAGAAGCCCATAACTATAATTATTTGTAAAAGTAATCTTTGAAGTTTCTCACCTTTTCACCTAGGGAAAAAAAAATGGGTCTTCAATAAAATTCCAGGTTAAAAAGAAAAGACAGATACTTTGTTCTTTCTCTATATTAGATAAGGAAGCAAAAATAAAAAACCCAAATTCTTTTTCTTTTTTCCTGTGGGACAGGCTCTCACTATGTAGCTCTGGCTGGCCTGGAACTCACAGAGATCCACCTGCTCCAGCCTCCGGAATGCTGGGATTAAAGGTGTACACCGCCACACCTGGCCAGATTCTTAATCTATTCTAAACATCACTAAAGATGAGGCCTTATCAAATCTGAGAAAGTCCCCAATTTCAAACATACCTACTGTGAGCTCATATAAAGGAAACTGAGTACTGTCTGAAAAACAAAAAAGCAAATTCCTTTACTATAAAATTAATAGCAACTGAATTCAATCGTTCAAAAGGGAATACAAATAGAAGCTGCAACAGAACATCAACTCAGAAACTCAAACTTTCCTGAGGCCAAACTGCCCTAGAGTTACAGGGCCAGCGTTAAGTGTCATAAAGCACTAACAGGCTGTTCTTGGACAAGTTCACACTCAGGCTATTAAGAATTTCCATTAAATTTTAAATTATACTATTCATCAGTGAGCAACTGAGGGCTCTCTACCTGCAAGCTTCTCCCCTACACTTCCTCCCTGGTTTCTCAGCAAATAGAGACCTTACACTACCACTACTACGTGAACTAAAGACAGACTTTCCTAGCCTAACCATGAAAAGGAGAAGTTTCCAAATAGCTTTGCATTTATTCATGTGGTTCTGCTACATATTTTAGGAGCTGTAAACTTGCAAAGCTGTAAAGCTGATGACCTGATCTGTCGATGCTCCTAATTTTTTTTTTTTTTTAGGTGTGCACATACATTATCCACATACAAAAATAAATACAGATTCTTCTGTGTGAAGGCTGTCTTCAAATAAAAAAGGAGAGAAAGTTTCCTCTCTTTTCCCCTCCTACTTTTCAGCTTTATTTTGGTATTAAGAGAGCCCAACAACTTCAACAAGAATTCAAGGTGCCATTGCTTGGTAAACTATTAATTGCATAGTGAACATAATGGCGGGGTTTGCAAGAGACCAAAAAGACACCCCCACCTTGATAAATGCTGCTCGCTGTCCTTCTGCTTTCTCAACAGAGGTCCAACAGACCAAGAGAGAGAACACTGCATGTGTGCATCTTTAGAACAGAATCTGTTCAGTTTTCCCTGGGAATCCTGAGAGTGATCAGGCTCTGCAGAAGCAATGCTATGCAACAAGCAGAGTTCACAGTTGAGTGAACATCAATGTGTAATGAGTAGAGGCATTTCAATGCAAATAAATGCTGAATATGAAGGATTAAAGAAAGGGAAATTAATCTTTTTTCATAACACAGGGTACTTTTCCCCCTTCTCACTCACTCTTTTTTAAGTCAAGCACATAAACTGCTGGAGGGAATCCAACATCCCCAGAATGGTAGTGGTGTTTTATAAAAAGCAGTGCATACACATTTAAGACCATGAATTTCCTAGGATTCAGCAACTGAGATCCCAATAGCACTTCAGAAAAGCCTCATAAACAAGTACTTCCCAGTGAGGGCTAAAAGGACCAGTGGAAACTCTCACTTAAAACCAAACTTTACTTTTCCAGTCAGTTTTTTGGGACATTGATAATATAAAAAGACTTGCTTTCAACATTAGAGGGCTTTAGATGTATTTACTGAGAGGACTGTATTTCCTAATTTTTCTCTAATTGTCCCATCTACCTGATACTTATGCAACACCAGCAAAATAAACAAGGCAGCTTCAGGCTGCCTTAGCAGGTGGCTCCATCACTTCCCTTCCAATATAATCTATTCTTGTCCTACCTCTCAAACTAAAGGACAAATGGAAGTGTGTTTTCATGTTATCTTTTCCAAAAAAAAAATAATCTGCTAAGAATGGTAATTCTAGCTTTTCACTTCAAGAGAGGCTGGGCATGGTGGCTTTGGTCTGTAAACATGGCATTTAAGAGGCTTAGGCAGGAGGATTGCTGTGAGTTCCAGGCAAGCCTGAGTCATACTGACAACCGGTCTCAACATGTCAACAGCAGAACATTTCAGGTCACCATAGGCTTACATTAAACAAAGATTCCTGAAACATCCTAATATTTCCTATTCTATTATTTTGAGAAAACTTTTAAATTCAAAGAGTCCCTTGTAAAATTGTTAACCTAGATTAAGATTTCTCTAACTACAAATACAAATCTCACAAAGGAAAATAATTTCCAATTTGTTCCTTTCTCTTTTGAATTTGGTTCCAAGAAAAATGTCAAAGACCTAGAATTTTTTAAATGAGTTTTTATAAATAATGTATTCAAAGATTTTTGGCCCACTACATAAAGAATCCCACCATGTAAGAAAAATAACAGATTTGGTTAAGAGTTTTAAATTCTCAGAGATTGAATCTGGTGTCATGTCAAGCCTTTAGCTTTATACTGCTTCAATCCCAAAGGACCAGCAGATAGCAATTTAGTACACAAGACTTCACTATGCTATATAGTTCCTTTTTCCCTGGGTCAGACAGCTTTATTCTGCTTCATTAACCCCTTCTTTGCTCCTTGATGGATCTTGGAATCCAGTTTCCCTGTAAGAGAAAAAAGAAGTCTCACTCATTATTTATTTTTATATTTGCATTGCAAATCTTTCCTGGCCTCCTACATCTTCTGGTTACTATGTTCCTGTCACATTCAATTATCTTGCTTCAGGATGCTGGACACTTCCAAACTTCAGTTTTATTTTCTAAGAAGAAAGAGGTGGGAATGTTTCACACACACACACACACACACACACACACACACACACACACACACACACATGACTATGTAAAGAATATATCTAATTTTGTGCTTTATTTAGGGTGTCTGATACTAAGAAAGACAATTTTTAAAAAAAGAATACAGATATGTAGATAAACAGAGACAAAACAAGAGAAGAAGAAAGAATAGGGGCATGCCACAAAAAATGTACTTCACACAGTGGGAAACCCATTCCACTGACCTGTTAACTAGCTGAGTACAAAGGATGAATCTCCCTCACACTGGGAAAAGCAGTTCAACTCACCCTTTTGCTGCCTCATCCTTAATAGGGGGAGTGACCTGAAACAGTGGAGTAGAATCCACACAAATGCTTCCCTAGCAAAGGGTCTCTATCACCAGCTAAAGGGGGTAAAGGTCATAGATTATATAGCTCTTCTGAGTGTTAAATTTAGAAAACAAGCAAAACAGCCAGGTGTCATGGTTTATGTAATAATCTGTATTCTGGAGGCAGAGGCAGGAGGATCCTGTATATTCCAGACCAGGTTGGTCTACATAGCAAGAGCTACATGCCTCTGCTTCAAAAAATAAACAAACAAAACAAAGCCATCTCATGTCTCAAGAGCTCCAAATGAGAAATCCTTCAATGATTTGAACTGACCCCTCAATCTACCAGAATACAGCTTAGTTCAGTGCCAGCAGCATTTGAAAGTATATATCTCATGAAGGAAAACTTTAGAGTTCCTATTTGGTCTTCGACAAAAGCTTGCAGATTTCTTTTCTCCCACAAAAAGCCTCATTTAAGTCAATGGTGATGATGATGATGCTAAGAATAGAAAATACTTTAATTCAGTTTTAGCACTAAAAATATAAAATAGAGTCCTGGATAAAAGGCAGCCTGGCATACTGTGGACACACACCCAGAACACAACTACCACCCAGATGTCCTTTTCACAGGTTGAGCAATCCGATGTGACAAATAGAACACTCATTAGAAGCTAGTAAATACCTGTATGAACTGGGCAAGTCATTCAACCTCTCTGGATTTCTTTTTGTTTTTTCTTTTCTTTTTTTTTTTTCTTTTGATTATGTATACAGTGTTCTTGCCTGCATGTATACCTGCAGCCCAGAAGAGGAGGGCACCAGATCTCATTACAGATAGTTGAGCCATCTTGTAGTTGCTGGGAATTGACTCAGGACCTCTGGAAGAACAGCCAGTGCTCTTAACCCCTGAGCCATCTCTTCAGCCCGTCTCTCTGGATTTCAATGGCCTCATTTGTCCAATTAAGATAAAAATACAAGTTCTGACCACTGCACAAGGATACTGCAGAAAAACAGACTCAGCCCTGAATTTCTTTTAGGCCCCTTCCCGAGTGTTTCAGGGCTGCACCTGCTCCTAGAATAGCAGTACACCTTTTTCTGTGCCACCCTAATGCTGTTCATAATGATCACAACACTGTTGATTTTAATTGGAGCTTTAGAATATGGGCATCCCTGGTAATTTAGGAGTTCTTTCATTCTATAGGCTGCCTAGCTGGGAATGTGAACTTGACAGCAAGCTGGCAAAAAGCCCTACTTCAAGACAAATTTTCTTTTGTCTCCCTCATAGTACTGAAGTAACAGTCAGTTGGTAGTTGTTCAATAAAAACTGTAGTTCAAGGCCAAGCCCAGCTATGCAGTGAATTAAAGGCCAACCTGGATCATATGAGACCTTGTCTCAAAAACAAAACAAACAAAGGCAAATAACACAAATTGTAAATCCTCAGTATAACAGACTACTAAGTAACCCAAACCAGCAAATAAAGTGTTAGTACTGAGGTACGAGTAATCAAGTCTTCTTCAGGCTTTTAGGACAAGCCATATGAGAATTTAGAACCCAATAAAGACTTTGATATCCAGTTCTTGGTATTGCCATATGCTTGAGACTCATTGCTTAGCCTTGTTCCTCAGATTTACTCTAGCTGTGTAATAATGATGAGGATGTTACCTAGTCTTTTTTGTTTGTTTGTTTGTTTTTTTCAAGACAAGGTTTCTCTATGGCTGCTTATGTTTGCATAGACAAAATATTTTCCTCAAATTATTTTCAATTTTTGGTTGGATGAGTCTATGGATTGAAACCTATAGATAATAGCTGAGGAGGTGGCTCAGTGGGTAAAAATGCTTGTTGTGCAAACATGAGGGCCTGAGATCACATTCCCAGCATCCATGTAAAAAGCTGGCATGGTGGCACACATCTGTAATCCCAGTGCTAGGGAGCTGATATAGGTGAATGCCAAGAACCACTGGCCATCTAGCCAAAAAGGCAAGCTCCAGGTTCAATGAAAGATCCTATCTCAAAAAATAAGATGCCAGGGAACAAGGATTTCTAGGCCATTCCCAGGAATCAAAATTTCTTTTATTGCCAGGTGGTGGCGGTGCATACCTTTAATCCCAGCACTCGGGAGGTATTGGCAGGTGGATCTCTGTGAGTTTGAGGCTAGCCTGGTCTACAGAGCTAGTTCCAGGACAATCGGGAATACACAGAGAAACACTGTCTTGAAAAACGTAAAAAAAAAAAAAAAAAAAAAAAAAAAAAAAAAAAAAAATCTTTTATCAATTGAGCTGCTTAAGAAAGCCAGATTATTGTCAGCAATCTGTGAAATCTTAACAATCCAGGAACTTCTATATCTGTAACATCTAACAAAATGATTAAGAGCAACAACTATTAAGCCAACTAGAGTTGATAAAACAAAGAGTTTAGTCTTCTTACAGGAAGGGACAGACAGTATGGCAACCTTAAGCCTTGTCCTTTATTTTACTATATATTATATATATACATATATACACATATACACATACACATACACATACACATACACATACACATATACATATATATATATATATATATGTCAGTGAACATCCTTACCAGCTGAGCCACTTCTATAGTCTGGAGCCTACTCTTTCTAAGATGTGGACTGTAAGCTGGGCATTATGGTATACACCTATAATCTTAGCATTTTGAAGGTAGAGACAGGAGAGTTGGAATTCAGGGTAGTCCTCAGCTACCCAGTAAGTTTAATGCCACCTAGGGTATATGAGACTGACACAAAGACTTGGGGCTAATATAGTGAAGGTACAATACATTCTTTTCACAGAGTAGAAATAATGTTTAGTTTTCTACATTTCCCCAATATTTTCACATTTAATACCTAAAGCATTTCAGTGTTTAATCACATCCTCTATCACAGAGCCTACAAGAATAAAAATCACTAAGTGTGGGGGTACACATCTGTAATTCATCACTTAAGAGGGTAAGGCAGGAGAATTGCTTTGAATTCTATGCCAGTCTGGGCTACATAGTTTGAGTGCTTCAAAATAAAACAAAACAAAACATATCAAGTCATGTGTAACAAATGGGAAAGAAGCCTGGCGATGGTGGCGCATGCCTTTAATCCCAGCACTCGGGAGGCAGAAGCAGGCAGATCTCTATGAGGCCAGCCTGGTCTACAGAGTGAGTGCCAGGATAGGCTTCAAAGCTACACAGAGAAACCCTGTCTCAAAAAACAAAAACAAAACAAAACAAAACACAAATGGGAAAGAAGTTACAAGGGGAAAGTAGTAAGTCATGATTCCAATAAATATCATAGAGATTTTCATGTATTTTGCAAGACATAAGTCAGTCATTTTTTAAAATTTGGGGTTGGAGAGATGACTCAGTGGTTAAAAGCATTGGCTGCTCTTCCAGAAGACCTAGGTTCAATACCCAGGACACACATAGCAAAACTTAGAACTGTCTCTAACTCCAGTTCCAAGGGCTCCAACATCCTCACATAGATACATATGCAGGCAAGACATCAATGCACATAAAATAAAAATAAATCTTTTTTTTGGGGGGGTGGACAGGGTCAAGGCAGGGCTTCTCTGTGTCTTTGGAGGCTGTCCTGGAACTAGCTCTTATAGACCAGGCTGGTCTTGAACTCATACAGATCAAAAATAAATCTTAAATAAATAAAAGTAACTTTTTTTTTTTTTTTGAGACAGGGTTTCTCTGTAGCTTTGGATCCTGTCAGGGAACTTACTCTGCAGACCAGGCTGGTACCAAACTCATAGAGATCCACCTGTCTCTGCCTCCTGAGTCCTGATATTAAAGGCATGTGTCACCACTGCCCTGCTTTTTATTTTGTTTTGTTTTTTTTGAAACAAGCTTTCATTGTAGCAGCACAGGCTGCCAGGGAAATCTCTATGTAGTATGATAACCATGAACTTCTGATCTTCAAGTTTCTACCTCCCTAGTGTTGGGATTATTGGCATGTGCTACACCACACCTAGCTAACAATTAGCCATTTTTTGTAGTGTTCTGTTTTGGGACAGAGTCTTACTATAAAATACAGCTATCTTCAAATTTATAATCCTTCTGCCCCAGCCTCCCAAATGCTGAGATTACAGAGCTAAAATATCATGCCTAGTTCACTGATCAATTACATATATAAATGTATTTATATATGTATGTATGTATGTTGTATGTATGTATGTATGTATGTATGTATGTTTGTATTTGTTTTTGAGACAGATTTTGTTATTTGTGAGCTGGCAGGAGACAACAAAGCTTACTACAACATTTTTTCTTTCAAATTTAGACAAATAAGATGCAAGAGAAAATGAGATCCTCAAAGATGGTTACTTACAGATTTTAGGATTTCCTTTAATAGGAAACTTTACAACCATTTCCTGGGGATTTTTGCAGATGAAAACAAATGGAGAATCAGACTCTTGACTGATGTCTGGAAACTGAAAGATAAAAATTCAGGCTAGTTGGGATGAATTGGTCATTTTGAAGAGATCAAAGAACAGCCTAGATTTTACCTCAATCCTGATGACAGTGCTCTCCGGTTCACAGACCAGGAGGACTATGCTCAACAATAACACAACTCCAGCTTTCTGCAGGTTTTATTATAGTATACCCAGTATATTGCCTGACATCTCTGGCTTTTTACATGGAATAAGCTTCCTAAACAAATGAAGCCTGACATTCCTCCAGGATGATGGGAACTGACCACTCTTTTAACACAGGCAGTCTTAAGTGTCTAAGGTCGGGGGCTGGAGAGATAGCTCAGTGGTTGAGAGCACTGGCTACTCTTCCAGAGGTCCTGAGTTCAATTCCCAGCAACCACATGATGGCTCACAACCATTCGTTATGAGATCTGGTGCCCTCTTCTGGTGTGCAGATATATATGGAAGCAGAATGTTGTATACATAATAAATAAATAAAATCTTAAAAAAAAAAAAAAAGAGAGAGAGAGAGTCTAAGGTCGCTGGGTGTTGGTGACACACGCCTTTAATCCCAGCACTTGGGAGGCAGAGGCAGGTGGATCTCTGTGAGTTCAAGACCAGCCTGGTCTACAAGAGCTAGTTCCAGGACAGCCTCCAAAGTCACAGAGAAACCCTGGGGGGGGGGGGGGTCTAAGGTCTCCTGGAATGATGGGCAGCACCCTAGGTTCAACTCAATGGATGCCCTGAAAGATTTAAGGAAAGTCTGTTAAAAACAGTACACATAACCATCTTGTAAGGCGAAGGAAGATGATTCATTCTGAAACCCATGAGCATGTAAAGGCTGTTCAGCTGGATGCATTCCAGAACTGCTTAGGGAGAAAGGCAAGTGATAGGATATCACAAAACAAATTAACATGAATAGTAAGAGTTTGGGTTTTTTCTTTTTGCAAATGGAGACATGGAACCCAAGATTATGCTAGCTACATAATAACAGGTTAGGAAACCATTATAGATTGGCAGAAAAGTTCTCTAACAAACATCTCCAAGCAATCTGATGTTTCATTGTTTCATATCTTAGGATATCTAACCTGTTTGATAAATGACTGACAGGCATCTGGATCAGACTTAATTACCAGAGAAGTTCTTTTCGAAGTAACTACTATCAAAAACAGAACTCACCCATTAAGATCTATTCTCTCAGGCAGGGCGGGGTGGCACACGCCTTTAATCCCAGCACTCTGGAGGCAGAGGCAGGTGGATCTCTGTGATTTTGAAGCTAGCCTGGTCTTTAGAGTGAGTTCTAGGATGGCCAGGGCTGTTATACAGAGAAACTGTGTTTGGAAACAAAACAAAACAAAACAAAAAAACAGAAGACAAAAACAAAAAAGAAACTGAAAAAATTTGAGTGGGAGCGATGGCTTAGTGGTTAAGGACACTAGCTACTCTTCCAGAGGTCCTGAGTTCAATTCCAAGCAACCACATGATGGCTCACAACCATCTGTAAAGAGCCTGCAAGGATACATGCAGGCAGCACACTATATACATAATAAATAAATAAATCTTAAAAAAAAAAAAACTAGGGCTGGAGAGATGGCTCAGAGGTTAAGAGCACCGACTGCTCTTCCAAAGGTCCTGAGTTCAATTCCCAGCAACCACATGATGGCTCACAACCATCTGTTATGAGATCTGATGCCCTCTTCTGATGTACAGATATACATGGAAGCAGAATGATGTATACATAATAAATAAATAAAATCTTTTGCATGAACTGTAGTCCCAATACTTGGTTAAGAGGAAGAGGCATTCAAGGCCAGCATTGGCTACATGGTGAGTTTGAGCACAGTCTATGCTACACAAAACTATGTCAACAAAAACAAAAACAAAAAACAGGGCTGGGGAAGCAGGCATGTGAGTATATATCCTTAATCCCAGCACTCACAAGGCAGAGAGACAGGCTGGTCTCTGAGTTTGAGGCCAACATGTTCTACACAGGGAGTTCTAGGCCAGCCAGGGCTACATAATGAGACTCTGTCTAAATAAAACAAAGCAAGATAAACCCTGATAGTCCAAATTATACAGTGGTTTCAGAGAAAAATAATGTAGTAGAAAACCCAAATGTGTCTATAACTGGTGGAAGCATAAGGACTTAAATTTCTTTATTGACCACAGTGTCTAAGATGCTGTGGCAAAGTCAAAAAGAATTTCCCAAATGTTTGGTCCTGCCCATCGACCATGGCCTTCAGTGAGGCAGATGTGGTGTGTATCCTGATAAAATATAAAATTACTATTAAGTATCAGCCATAAAAGTCATATTCATAAACAAAACGAAAATATTCACAGTAGAGAAGCTGGGTCAGAAGAGACACTGAGGGGAGTGGAGACAAAGACCCAACCAGTCCAGTTAAATCCACGAGCTCCAGGTTCTGAGAGCAACTACCTCTAAAAAAGGTTGAAGAGGGCCTGAAGAAGATAACCAATATGTGTAGGCCGAGGGACAAATTCCTGTGTGTAGTCACATCTTGCTTTGTCAGTGAACTTGTGAGTTGTTCTTGCCTTCTACCTTGTTTCAGGGCCAGGGTCTCTCTTATTCCTACTGCTGAACTGCATTGATGGGTTTCTTCACTATTCTCTCCTTAGCAATGCTGAAGATGTGACTTAGGATGTCAACACATCTGGCTTTTATGTGGTGATGGAATTCAGGGGATCACGACTATGCCACAAGCCTCCACCCACTGAACCACCTCCCTGTCTTGTATTTGTTTGTTTGTTTCAGTTTTTTGAGACAGGGTCTGTCTACATAGTCCTGGTTGTCCTGGAACTCACCATGTAGACCAGGCTGGCCTCCAACTCACAGAGATCCATCTGTTTCTATGAGTGCTAGGTTAAAGGTGTGTACCATAATACCCAGCTATTCTCAATCTATTATGGAATTATTCCTGTAAAGGTCACTGCTGACTTCTATGTTGCTAACTTAAATGATCAGTTCTTGGTTTTCATCTTAATTATACTATCATGCATCAGGCAGTGGTAGTTCACACCTTTAATCCCAGCACTTGAGACACAGAGGCAGACAGATCTCCGAGTTTGAGGCCAGCCTAATCTACAGATCGAGTTCTAGACAGACAGAGCTATACAAAGAAACCAGGTCTTGAAGAAAATTTTTACTATCTTGGAGAATTTGACAGGCTGCCTCTTCCTCCCAGAAAAGTGCTGGGATTAAATTAGGGATTTGCTACCTGGATAGCTAATTTATTTAACATATATATCTTTATGGCGTTAAGACTCAAACCCCCAAATTCCCATATGGTAAGCAAATACTCTAGTATTGAACTATATCTCTAGCCTGTCAGAAATTTCTATTCCTCTGTCTTGAGCATGGTCCTCATTTAACTTCCAGAGTATCGTTTTCTTCCTGGCTTTTCTGCTTGCTTGACTGTTTCTAATCTTCTAGCCTTAAAATGCTGCAGAGTAGCAGAGATCTTTCCCTGCATTTAGTCTTGTAGATCTCCTTCAGTCTGAGTAATAGAAATCTATCGGTAAAGATTTTCTGAGGTCCTGGAAATGCAAATCAAAACCACAAGGAAGATTGCTCAGCAGGGAATGGCACATACTGCTAAGCCTGATGCCCTGAGTTTGATCCCTGGCACACACATAGTAGGAAAGGACTGACTCCTGCAAGTTGTCCTCTAACCTTCATGCATGCATTGTAACATATGCCCCACCACATGCACACACACAAAGAATTTAATTTATATTTCAGAAATACACATATATTTAAGGGACACACACACACAAAGCACGAAGCACACAAACACACGTAAAAATCAAACAAAAAAAAACACAATGAGATACCATTTAATACTCACTAGGATGGCTACACATGACAAAAGCATGAAACAAATGGTGACAAAGGTATGAAGGAGCTAGAGCCCTTCTGCAGTGCAGCACAGTGGAAAATATTTTGCAGGCTCCTGAAAAGGCTCAGCAGACAATTATCATTATCCCCAGCAACCAGAAAGGAAATTAAAAGAATCTCAAACAGGTATTTGTACACTTATGTTCACAGCAACACTGTCTAACCACCCAGTTACAGTTGAATAAACAATTGAAAAATACCTACATCAGAGTATTTTTCAGTCTGAGAAAGGAAGGAAATTCTGAAACATTCTACAACATTGGCAAACCATGGAAACATGGTAAATGAAATAACCAAGACACAAAAAGATTCACGATTCTACTTAAATAAACTACTTAGAATAGGCAAATTCACATGGATAGAAAGTATTAAGAGGGGCCAGTCAGAGGGCTAAGAGCGTAAAAGCACTTAACAAGCAAAACACACAAAGGTAGGAGAAGCTGGGTGTGGTGGCTCAAGCCTTTAATCCCAGCATTTGGAGGTAGAGGCACATGGATCTTTATGAGTTCTAGGCTTACTGAATTTACATAGGGAGTTCCAGGATATAGGCACTGGCTCTGGCTCTGGCTCTCTCTCTCCCACCCCCCCCTCAAAAAAGTAAGAATGTCTTCTGACCGCCACAAAGATGCTTTCTGACCTCCACACATGCACCATGACCTTCTTACCTGTGCATATGCAAGCACACACGGTAGAGAGGAGGGGAGGGGAGTAGCTGGAGAGATATGACCCAGTTTTGGTTCCCAGCACCCACAAGGCAGCCCACAAATGACTGTAACTCCAGTTCTAGGGGATCCAACACCCTCTTTTGACTTCTGTAGGCTCCTATACACATGGTTCACATATACATACACTCACGCATATACATACATATAAGATTAAAAATAATTTTTAGAATGAAAATAAATAAAATAGAGGTTACCAGGGAGTGAGATATGGGAGGAAAGAGCAATTATTGAATAGGTACAGAGTCTGTGATTAGGATTATAGGAACGTTCTGGAGATGGGTAGTGATGGTGACTATACACCACTAAGAATATAGTTGATGTCATGGTACTGCAACACTTAAATATGCTTAAAATGGAAAAGTCTATCTTATACAAGA